TTGGTTATCTTCTAGCTGGCAGCTCCTTAATAATACAACCAGGTAAGAGCTCAACTGCAATGTTATCAAGCTAGCACTTCACAGGAGTCAGAAAGAACAGAGGGTTACTATCACATCGAGCCATCCTCAATTGCACAATCGATGAAATATTTAAATGATATCATCAGTTATCGTCAAACTAAACGAAATTAGTAACTTACACAGGTGAGAAAAGCAAGCCATGGACTTTCCTCTGCTGGGGTTCGATGAGTTGGACAGAAAAGAAATAACGGAGGCGGGCTGAGTAGGGAGTTTATGTTAACGGGATGCGAGGATGCCTATTGATGGAAAGACGGACGTTTCAGTAGTGTTATTAATCAAGCCTCTATAACTATTTAGCACCCCTAACTGGAACTTTCACCCCAAGAACACTGAATTTACACGTTGCATAATACACTTAGAAACAAAAAATCCAAGTGGTGCGATTTATGTTGAGCACACTTCTGATTAATGCGTGGTTGGAAATATCAGCGATGGGTCTTGTAAATATGAGTGATTTAAGCCTCATGGAAGACAACACATTTAACAAGGAAATCTTTAATCTTTTGTAAAGTTTATTTTTATCTTTATCCGAAGATTACGAGAATTTTATTCACCTTGCCTAATAGAACGTTGCTAGATCGACTTGGGTCTCACATTACGTCTCCTTTAACAAAGCAAAATAATGATATACTCGTACCTAGCAAGGGATGACGCAGAAAACATAGAACGGAAATATGGAACCTAACTTGTGCGAAGCTCATCTTCAAATGTAGCGTCGAACAGGACGGCCTCGGTTGTGCGGGCTCTCATATAGCGTTCTTTGGTTGAAGGCAAATGAATAGGCATAAGCCGCACAACAGAAACTTTGGAAAAGCCAAGAAATCTTGGTCCGTGAGGAAATGAACGGAAAAGGGTTCCGTTGGATGTAAATGACGTTGGGGGAGAAATCGTACAAATAGCTCCACCTTATGGTACAACTTCGTGTTGCTATGGCGTACTACCAACAATTTTTTTATACCCAAATTAACCTAACCCTCATTCATGCTTATTATTTTGTAAAGAAAATAAAATCGATATTATACACTCTTTAATATTAACTTCTCAGCCGATTAGGAAAGAAGATTATTTACTCAAGTTAAGGAACAAATTCTTTCATTATTTACACCATCATCCGATTCAATACGACAAGTGTCTCCACAAAGCTTGTACAATTTTAATGAAGTGTTGATGTTGCTATTTGTAATTTTATTTCGCATCTACTAATTTTCTCTTGGCTGAATTAAATGGAATTGCAAGTTACAATATAATAATGTCATTGAAATTTACTTGAATACTAATATTAATTAGAAATGGAAACTTAGGAGTAAAAAAGTATAGCATGTTTTTTATCATTAAAACATGTCTCTATTCATATCAAAAGATTCAGGATCATTACAGCAAACAAGGGGAAAATAAACCTGACACCAACTAAACTCCAACAACTACAGTTGTAAACCCTATGATCAGACTTTGAGAGACGGTCACCCCTGAAAGAGCAACACGAATCGCTAACCATGTATTGGGCTTGACACAGCCAAACATGTTCCCATACATCCAACCATACCCAATGACATAAAGAGAGGCTAAAAACTCAAACAAACTATCAAAACCAACAACAAAGATGAACACAAGAAAACAAATGACAAACAGATAAAAATTATTAGGAAAACTTTCACGGACTCTAGCACCTCGTACAACCTATGGTGGTGGTTCAGGAGGAGGTCGTACCACCGGTACCATGCTAATTGATCCTCCATTGTCGAACGCAATTTGGCCTACTCGAAATCCTTGCAACACTCCTCGTCTCGCACTCGTAGCTACATCACCCCTCACGACCATCTTCTTCTCTGTCGACCCCTCCACCTTGATAAAAGAAAATTGCTTCCCTGCTCTCGCCCGACCTCACAATCAGCAAATCAACACCGAGGTAACAACGAAACCTCGCTCGACTCCACCAAACAGCGGAAGCGGACTTCCGTGGATGAAGATCGCCGAGGAGAAAAAAAACTGTAACACCGCCCCCAAATGTATTTACTTGTAAGTGAATAATGTATTGAACCTGGTGGAATGATTAATGAGAATACGAAGTTGTAAATTTTTATTAATTATTTTGCGCGAATAGTAAATTCGCACGTGGGGCCCACACCGGGAGCGGGGGCCGCCCAATATTCCCCGGACCACATAAATTATTCATCTTGGTCTAGATAATATTTATATGGTGGTGGATAACTCATTTGAGCCATGGAAAGGTCCAGAGTTGACCAATCGGTCAAAAGAGGCCCAAATACCGGTATTGGCAATTTAACCGATAAAAGCCCGAAATTGAATTTCGGGGACTTATAAATTAAAGTTGGGGGATGTATATTCTTCATAAGTGTCATAATGATTAATAACACATAAAATATTTTATTCGACCCGATAAAATAAATTATATTTAAACAGTCCGAAAAATACAACTTTCGGGGCTGATTGTACACTTCGGGACACAAGGGGATGACCTCCCACATGAGTGGGGGCCACCCCACGTTTTTATGTGCTGGAATAGACAAACATGGGGGATGGTTGACTTGGAAGGAGAGGGGTGAGGTGATGAGCATCAAAGGTACACCTATGACCCCATTTCCCTCACTCATTGGTCCAAACAAGACAAAAGCTATCCACCCCCCTCACCACCATCATTCATTCGGCCAACACATCTCAAGCAAGAGAAAAACCTCCCAGCAAAATATCATCCTCCATAGCCAAGGGCAAGCTCAAGCTCAAGGAGAAAGTTCAAAGAAAGAAAAAGGAGGAAAAGTGAGGTGTATTAAGGTAATGACCTCATAATGAGTTTCCTTCATTCCTTTAACCATCATATGACTTATATAGCATATGAATAACCCTTGTTATGGTTCTACATATTTACATATGTAGGAAATTGGGTTGGAAGGTGATTCTATGTCCAAACACGGACATAGAAGCCAAAACGACCGGTTTACCGGAAAATAACCTTTTAGGGGTTATTTGTATTGATTAAGGTTTTATGATGTTAAAACCTTGTTAGGAACTTGATTAAAGTATTTTTGAGCTTCACCGGAGTTTCGCCGGAGTTGGTCAAAGTTCACCGGAGTTGGTCAAAGTTTGCCGGAATTAGTCAAAGTTCAACCGCGGAGCGTAGAACACGCTTAAGCTCACTTAAGGTGAGGATGACCGACTATATTGCTTATAATCTTTGGGTTAATTTCATGAGATTCCCTAAATGAATATACAATGTGATTTGCATGGATTATTAATGGTTAATAATGCCTAAATGAAATTACTATTGATTATAAGTATAGCTTGCATAATATACAAATTTATTGAATAAATTGTGTATGTCTAAATGTTATGAATATGGTGGCATGATAGTAGTATCAACCATAAATTCCCATTTGTGATAAGTATACTTTTATTTCATGAGAAAAGGCCATGAAGGAATAAAAGTGATATTTTGATATTGAGGCCAAATTACATATTGAATGAAGAAATTATTACATTGAAATGAGTAAATAACTAGTATTGAAATATTAGTTGGAATTGTAGTTGAATAATGGATGAATGGATCCTAGGAAATTGAATTGTAATGAATCGGTGATTATTGAGCTGGGCTCTAGACCGATGTAGATAACGGTGATTATTGAGCTGGGCTCTAGACCGTAGTAGTTATCGGTGATTATTGAGCTGGGCTCTAGACCGATGTAGATAACGGTGATTATTGAGCTGGGCTCTAGACCGTAGTAGTTATCGGTGATTATTGAGCTGGGCTCTAGACCGATGTAGATGACGGTGATTATTGAGCTGGGCTCTAGACCGTAGTAGGTAACGGTGATTATTGAGCTGGGCTCTAGACCGTGATAAGAAATGATGAATTGACACTAAACGAATAAAGTTAACCACGATATAATAACACCCTAGGTTGAGGGTCTTGGAAATTGAAACGTTGATTATATTTAGTATAGTTGTCATTGTACTTGTCAAATGCTTCCAAGTACTGACCTCCCCTTCACGGGGGAGGCCACCTCACAGTTTCAGGTAGAACTTGAAGGTTGCTACCACCGCCCGTTGCTTCGGGAAGATCAAAGGAGGGAGACGTGGTTCGTGCTTCTTCCGTTCCTGTTTTAAAAACATTTAAATTAATGCTCATGGATATTATATTTTTGAATAATTATTTGGGGGCTTGTATGCCCAAGTTTGCCAAGTGTGGCATGAATATTTGTATCAAATGTTTCCGCTGCTTGAATGAATGTTTCACATTATGCTTGTTTATGGATGTACTATGTGTGAATGATATCCCAGACGCCTTGTATAGTATGGATGTGTTGAACTGTGGTTGACTATTCGTACTGTACGGCGGATTGTTGACGTGTCCGGATAGGTCCGGGGCGTGACAATTTAATTGGTATCAGAGCCTTAGTCCGTAAACTTCATAATGAAGCTTCAAAATCTCTTATCGAAAATGAATTTGAAAACCATGAGCATAAAAGTTTTGTACTTATAGAACTTTTGGTACTTGAGTTGCAAAGTCTCTAATTGTTAAGATGGTACCCTTAACAATTGGTATGACGGTGATTTGAGCCAAAGGATGTCTTTAAGTACCTATCCGTCACTTGACATTGATACGAGTCTAATGACTCATTCTACTTCCTTTCAGAAATGGAGCCAGTCGGAAGGATCACTAGGAGGAACCCGACGGGCCGTGTACCGGGTGGGTCCGAGCGCGGTAGCCGGGGGTCCTCTAGGGGATCAAGAGGAAGAGGCCGCGGAGGCCGACAACAACAAACCGTAAGTGATGGCCACGTCGATACGGAAAGCGAGACCTATTGGTCTTATGAGGACTCGACCTACCGGCCGGAAACTGAGCCGGTTGAGACCCCTTATGAAGGGGATGACGACGATGTTAGTGACGAGGAGGAAAATGGCTCCTTGGCTAGGATTGAAGCACTGCTCCAACAATATCATCGGGAGCGTGAGGAAAGGAGAGAACGCCGAAGGCGCCGTGCGGGGCCACCTTCGGGCGGGGCTCCAAGAGGGAGGAGCTACTGTGATTCGAGGACCCATGTAGAAGCGCATGGGAGCCGTGGTGATGGAGGTCCAACCATAAGGATCTCCAAATACATCAAGGAGGCGAGAGACTTGGGGTGTAAACCGTTCGATGGGACGGGAGACATCTCAGTTGCCGCGCAGTGGATCAAGAGGCTGAACGAGGCAGCCCTTGACATGCAACTCACCCCCGATTTCAAATTGAGAATCGGGGTGAGGTTACTTGAAGGGTTAGCATCCAAGTGGTGGGATGGAACCAAGGGTAAGTATGGCGGGACAGTTACTTGGGAGGATTTTCGGCAAGAATTCTTTGCCCAATACTACTCCGACTTTGAGGTAAACGCCAAGGTGAGGGAGTACACTCTTTTGACCCAAGGGGGTAACATGACGGTGAAAGAACTTGAGCATAAGTTCAGGGACCTTGCCGACCACATACCGGAGTATGCGTGTGATGAGAACCGAATGGTGAATCACTTTTGGGAGGCCTTGGACTTGGAGATACGTGATAGGGCGACTCAATTGCCCAACATGACTTTCAGCCAAGTGGTTGCCCAGGGGTTGAAGGGAGAAAAGCAATGGGAGGAAAGGAAGAAGAGGGACGCCGAGGAGGCAAAGAAGAGGAAATGGGAGAGCCATGGCCCCCAAGGTTCTAATAAGAAAGGGAACCATGGGGGAGGAGGATCATTCAGGGCACCGGCACCACCATCTAGGGGAGGCTCAGGCACGGGTGGACAAACCTCGGGCTCGCAAGCCCCAATGATGATTAGATGCAGGAATTGTAACAGGAACCATGGGGGTAAGTGTCGTGACCCTCTTCGGTGCTACCAATGTGGAGACACGGGGCATATTAAACCAAATTGCCCTCAACTTGGTGGGAACCGAGGGGTGGGATCAAGCGGCGCTACCACGGCAAGTAGGAACCGAAGCGGAGCACCTCATGCTAGTATGGGGCAGGGGGGAGCGAGCACAAGCAACGCGCCGTCCGTGAACCAAGGAAGGACTCAAGCCAGAGTCTACGCAATGACCGAGGCCGACGCTCGGGCCAACCCCGACTCCGTTGCAGGTAATCCCTTGTAACGATTGATAAATTACATGTATTGAGTGCTAAAAGTGATAGCGGGTTTGTACGGGCTCGCCGGGGCCGATACCGGCCGGTTTCCTAGCAAAAAGTTGCAAAAATAAACTGCCCAGGGGTAAACCGGCGCCGGTCGAGGCTTAAACCGGCGCCGGTTCTAATTAAAAGCCTTCGTTTTGAGGTCGCCGTGGGTAAACCGGCGCCGGTTTTGGCCCATAACCGGCGCCGGCCAAGGGTCGGGGAGGCTTAACTAATGAAAAATTTTATTCCGGGGGACGCCGTAGCAAAACCGGCGCCGGTTTTGGCCATAACCGGCGCCGGTCTAAGGGGAAAGAGGTCGGAAAAATCACCGTGCTCGCAACCGGGGCCGGTTTTGAGTTTTCCGATGTTGCCGAAGGTGAACCGGCGCCGGTTTTGGCCATAACCGGCGCCGGTCCAGTTTAATTTGTGAGTATCCGGCCACCCCGAAGGCAAACCGGCGCCGGTCTTGCCTAGAACCGGCGCCGGTCCAGAGTACTTTCACCTGGAATGTGTTGTTAAACCCCGTTTCGATCCGGTACGTTGAGTGGTGTGTCTTACATGACTTATATATGTAGGAACATTAAAGATCAATGGTAGAAACGCAAGAATTCTCATTGATACCGGGGCACAACGTTCATTCGTGAGTGAAGCGTTTGCCGAAAGTTTAGGCGTGCCGTTGATAGTAATGACACAACCCTTGTTGGTCTCTACACCGTTGGGAGACGATGTGGAAAGGAAACACTACTATCCTTCGTGTGAGGTAGAAGTGACGGGTCAACCTTTGACTTGTGACTTCGTACCTCTAAGTATGTTAGAATTCGATGCAATTCTAGGGATGGATTGGCTCGAGAAACATCATGCTCGAGTGGATTGTTATGCCAAGGTTTTGGAACTCGAGGATGCTGAGGGAAACACTCTACGTTTCGAGGGAGATCGGGGAGGATCTCATAGTTGCATAATATCCGTGATGAGGGCACGGAAGATGATGAAGAAGGGATGCCACGCATACCTTGCTTACGTGGTGGATGAAGCAAAGAAGGAGGTTGACATCAACGATGTACGTGTCGTGTGCAAATATCCGGATGTCTTTCCCAAAGACTTGCCGGGGCTTCCACCCGACAGGGAGATCGAATTCGTAATTGAAGTGGAGCCGGGAACCAAACCCATTTCGATTCCTCCTTATCGAATGGCACCGGCCGAGCTTCAAGAGTTGAAGGTTCAACTTCAGGAGCTATTGGACAACGGGTTCATTAGACCCAGTCATTCACCGTGGGGAGCACCCATACTCTTCGTAAAGAAGAAAGATGGTACACTAAGAATGTGTATAGACTATCGACAGCTAAACAAGGTCACAATCAAGAACAGGTACCCTTTACCGAGGATTGATGACTTGTTCGATCAACTTCGAGGGGCAACAGTATTCTCGAAGATTGATTTAAGGTCAGGGTATCATCAGCTGAAAATAAAGGAGAGTGACGTACCCAAGAGTGCTTTTCGCACTAGATATGGTCACTACGAGTTTTTGGTGATGTCGTTTGGTCTAACCAACGCACCGGCGGCATTCATGGACATGATGAACCGTGTGTTCAGTGAATACTTAGATCAATTTGTGATAGTATTCATTGACGACATTTTGATATACTCCAAGGGTGAAGAGGAGCATGAAGATCATTTGAGTCTTGTACTTGAACGACTAAGGGAAAAACAACTCTTTGCCAAATTCTCTAAATGCGAGTTTTGGCTCAAAGAGATTGGGTTTCTCGGGCATGTCGTGTCAAGTTCGGGCATTTCGGTGGATAAAGCCAAGATAGAAGCTGTTATGAATTGGGAGAGACCCAAAAATGTGAAAGAGATACGTAGTTTCCTTGGCTTAGCGGGATACTATCGTAAATTTGTTGAAAAATTTTCCGTATTGGCGTCTCCATTAACAAAGCTCACGAAGAAAGGGGCCAAGTTCATATGGGACGACAATTGTGAGAAAGGCTTTCTTGAACTAAAGAAACGGCTTACTGAAGCACCGGTTCTCGCTCTACCCACACAAGGGATAGGGTATGACATATACAGTGATGCTAGCATCCAAGGGCTTGGATGTGTACTCATGCAGAACGGTCGGGTGATTGCCTATGCTTCTAGGCAATTGAAGAGACACGAGGCGAACTACCCTACCCATGATCTGGAGTTGGGGGCGGTAGTGTTTGCACTAAAGATTTGGAGACATTATCTCTATGGAGAGACATGTCACATTTTCACCGACCATAAGAGCCTCAAGTATGTATTCACTCAGAAGGAGTTGAATATGAGGCAAAGGAGATGGATGGAGTTGATCAAGGACTATGACTTGATCATCGACTATCATCCCGGAAAGGCCAATGTAGTGGCCGATGCACTGAGCAGGAAGGGTACGTCGGGGACATTACTCACATGTCTACGAACTTTGAGGGCACAAGTGGAGGTGTCCACGAGTGGGGTCCTCATTGCTAGATTCGAGGTTAGACCTACATTGCTGGGTGAGATCAGTAGATGTCAGGCCATTGATGAAGAATGTCAGAAGATCCGGGAGAAGATCCTTGAAGGGCCCGTGGAGGACTTTCGAGTACGTGATGACGGTCTTTTACTGTTTAAGGACCGGGTATGCATACCAAAGAGTGAGGAGCTCCAAAAGTCTATACTAGAGGAGGCTCATTCTTCGGCATATGCTATGCATCCGGGAGGTACTAAAATGTACCGAGACTTGAAGGAAAGTTACTGGTGGTCGGGTATGAAGAGGGATATCGCAGAGTACGTGAGCCGATGCCTTACTTGCCAGCAAGTTAAGGCGGAGCACCAGCACCCGGCAGGGCTTTTGCAGCCACTGACCATTCCGGAATGGAAGTGGGAACACGTGACCATGGACTTCGTGGTGGGGCTACCACGAACAGTGAACAACTACGACGCAGTATGGGTAGTGGTTGATAGGCTCACCAAGAGTGCACACTTTTTGCCTATCAACATTACTTATCCTCTTGAAAGATTGGCAAAGCTATACACGGAGGAGATTGTGAGACTACATGGAGTCCCGATATCCATTGTCTCGGATAGGGATCCACGATTCACATCTCGGTTTTGGCCCAAGTTTCAAGCATCTTTGGGTACTAAATTGAAGTTTAGCACAGCTTTTCATCCGCAGACGGATGGACAATCTGAGAGAGTGATACAGATCCTGGAAGATATGCTTAGGGCATGTGCTTTGGAGTTCCAAGGAAGTTGGGACAAGCATTTGGCTCTAGTTGAGTTTGCCTATAACAACAGTTATCAGGCGAGTATTGGCATGCCTCCATACGAGGCATTGTATGGGAGGAAATGCAGAACACCGTTGTGTTGGGACGAGGTTGGCGAGGCCAAGCTCGAAGGGATAGAACTTGTTGAAATCACCAAGGCTAAGGTGAAGGTCATTCAGGATAGACTTAAGGCTGCCCAAGATCGGCAGAAGAGTTATGCCGACAAACGACGAAGGCCATTGGAGTTCGAGGTCGGAGATAAGGTCTTCCTAAGGATTTCTCCTTGGAAGGGTATCATCCGATTTATATCGAGGGGAAAGCTTAACCCCAGATATATTGGTCCATTTGAAATCCTTGAAAGGATAGGGGCTGTGGCATACCGTCTCAAGTTGACGCCGGAACTTGAGAAGATACACGACGTGTTTCATGTATCGATGCTCAAGAAATACGTGAGAGATCCATCTCATATTCTTGGGAAGCCACCGGTGGAGATACGTGAAGATCTACAATATGCGGTGGAACCGGTAAGGATTGTGGGTCAACAGGTGAAGAAACTGAGGAACAAGGAAATTCCTATGGTGAAGGTTCTTTGGAGAAGTGATCGAGTCGAAGAAGAAACCTGGGAGACTGAGGTCTCAATGAGGGAGCAATACCCGTTTCTTTTCGATTAGACACGTGGATTTCGGGGACGAAATCCCAAATAAGGGGGGGTGCACTTGTAACACCGCCCCCAAATGTATTTACTTGTAAGTGAATAATGTATTGAACCTGGTGGAATGATTAATGAGAATACGAAGTTGTAAATTTTTATTAATTATTTTGCGCGAATAGTAAATTCGCACGTGGGGCCCACACCGGGAGCGGGGGCCGCCCAATATTCCCCGGACCACATAAATTATTCATCTTGGTCTAGATAATATTTATATGGTGGTGGATAACTCATTTGAGCCATGGAAAGGTCCAGAGTTGACCAATCGGTCAAAAGAGGCCCAAATACCGGTATTGGCAATTTAACCGATAAAAGCCCGAAATTGAATTTCGGGGACTTATAAATTAAAGTTGGGGGATGTATATTCTTCATAAGTGTCATAATGATTAATAACACATAAAATATTTTATTCGACCCGATAAAATAAATTATATTTAAACAGTCCGAAAAATACAACTTTCGGGGCCGATTGTACACTTCGGGACACAAGGGGATGACCTCCCACATGAGTGGGGGCCACCCCACGTTTTTATGTGCTGGAATAGACAAACATGGGGGATGGTTGACTTGGAAGGAGAGGGGTGAGGTGATGAGCATCAAAGGTACACCTATGACCCCATTTCCCTCACTCATTGGTCCAAACAAGACAAAAGCTATCCACCCCCCTCACCACCATCATTCATTCGGCCAACACATCTCAAGCAAGAGAAAAACCTCCCAGCAAAATATCATCCTCCATAGCCAAGGGCAAGCTCAAGCTCAAGGAGAAAGTTCAAAGAAAGAAAAAGGAGGAAAAGTGAGGTGTATTAAGGTAATGACCTCATAATGAGTTTCCTTCATTCCTTTAACCATCATATGACTTATATAGCATATGAATAACCCTTGTTATGGTTCTACATATTTACATATGTAGGAAATTGGGTTGGAAGGTGATTCTATGTCCAAACACGGACATAGAAGCCAAAACGACCGGTTTACCGGAAAATAACCTTTTAGGGGTTATTTGTATTGATTAAGGTTTTATGATGTTAAAACCTTGTTAGGAACTTGATTAAAGTATTTTTGAGTTTCACCGGAGTTTCGCCGGAGTTGGTCAAAGTTCACCGGAGTTGGTCAAAGTTTGCCGGAATTAGTCAAAGTTCAACCGCGGAGCGTAGAACACGCTTAAGCTCACTTAAGGTGAGGATGACCGACTATATTGCTTATAATCTTTGGGTTAATTTCATGAGATTCCCTAAATGAATATACAATGTGATTTGCATGGATTATTAATGGTTAATAATGCCTAAATGAAATTACTATTGATTATAAGTATAGCTTGCATAATATACAAATTTATTGAATAAATTGTGTATGTCTAAATGTTATGAATATGGTGGCATGATAGTAGTATCAACCATAAATTCCCATTTGTGATAAGTATACTTTTATTTCATGAGAAAAGGCCATGAAGGAATAAAAGTGATATTTTGATATTGAGGCCAAATTACATATTGAATGAAGAAATTATTACATTGAAATGAGTAAATAACTAGTATTGAAATATTAGTTGGAATTGTAGTTGAATAATGGATGAATGGATCCTAGGAAATTGAATTGTAATGAATCGGTGATTATTGAGCTGGGCTCTAGACCGATGTAGATAACGGTGATTATTGAGCTGGGCTCTAGACCGTAGTAGTTATCGGTGATTATTGAGCTGGGCTCTAGACCGATGTAGATAACGGTGATTATTGAGCTGGGCTCTAGACCGTAGTAGTTATCGGTGATTATTGAGCTGGGCTCTAGACCGATGTAGATGACGGTGATTATTGAGCTGGGCTCTAGACCGTAGTAGGTAACGGTGATTATTGAGCTGGGCTCTAGACCGTGATAAGAAATGATGAATTGACACTAAACGAATAAAGTTAACCACGATATAATAACACCCTAGGTTGAGGGTCTTGGAAATTGAAACGTTGATTATATTTAGTATAGTTGTCATTGTACTTGTCAAATGCTTCCAAGTACTGACCTCCCCTTCACGGGGGAGGCCACCTCACAGTTTCAGGTAGAACTTGAAGGTTGCTACCACCGCCCGTTGCTTCGGGAAGATCAAAGGAGGGAGACGTGGTTCGTGCTTCTTCCGTTCCTGTTTTAAAAACATTTAAATTAATGCTCATGGATATTATATTTTTGAATAATTATTTGGGGGCTTGTATGCCCAAGTTTGCCAAGTGTGGCATGAATATTTGTATCAAATGTTTCCGCTGCTTGAATGAATGTTTCACATTATGCTTGTTTATGGATGTACTATGTGTGAATGATATCCCAGACGCCTTGTATAGTATGGATGTGTTGAACTGTGGTTGACTATTCGTACTGTACGGCGGATTGTTGACGTGTCCGGATAGGTCCGGGGCGTGACAAAAACTCTAAGGGCTGTGAAACCCTAGAGAGAAGATATAGCATGGTTAAAAATGCGTATTGATTACTTATTAAAAGGGGATCAAATATACGGAGTAATAAAAAATACGGAGTATGATATAGCGAGACAACGTTTTTCCTTTGACAAGCACAAAATAATTTCTTATATTGCATATATAATGTTAGTTGTATTAAGGATGTTTTCTTTTGGACTGAAATTTGCTGGTATGGTCCGGTAAACATCTGGTCTCTGTGTATTTTATAACTAAGAAATTCAGGCCTGATCTGGTCTGGTCTGTTTAAGTCTGGTCTGGTCTGGTCTATTTAAGTCTGGTCTGGTCTGGTTTGGGACTGAAAACAGTCCAAAAGAAAACATCCTAAGTCCGGTTTAATAAATATTACTTACTTTTTATAAGTTTATGTGATAGAAAATAGGACTTAAAAAATGTTTAACTTGTTAAATTTAGTTCGGTTATTTATCAAGGATTTAAATAATAACTAGTTGTTTGGTGAAAAATGATAATGTTAAAAAGGAGAATCACATACATTTAATATTACATTTTCAATGTTTGATTTACCCACTTTTATACTCACCTTATATCCACCATGTTTGTGGAGGTTTTTTTTGTCTGTGAACCCGGCCGGGTTCACAGACAATATTTTGTTTGTGCAAAATATTGTCTGTGAGTCGGGGTTCACCGACAAAAAAAACACTTCACAAACATAAGTGTGTACAAAAATGGGTATAAGAGTGGGTACAAAGATCATTTTTGATCTAAAATTCCCAAAAAATACTGCAAAAAAACTGTCATTTCCAAACAATTTATGTAGGTTCGCACTAGCCTTATCTCAATATGTCGTGTGTCTTCAAAATGATGCCACTATGAAAATGTTTTTGGGGTATTTTCTCGACCCCAACACCTCAGTGATACTCTAAGCTTATGCTTAACTCATGGCGGCTTTCATCCTCTGGCAATAAGACTGAACACACATTCTTAAAAATTCTTACTGGAATGGTTTCTGGGTCGCATACTTAAAAGGCTCCAAATATGATAGTTTTAGTCCTACACTCTTTCGTGAACATCTTATTCCCCAAAATCACCACAAATAACAGTTGCTTGTTGGCATCGACTGTTAGGAGTTCAAAACTTAATATGCAAACAGGTGCATGAAAAACATTAACATTTAATTTTAAGGGATGTACGCAGTCTTACCCCTATTCTGCATGACTCATAGTGAAAATCGCGTAAAAAAATTGCATGGGGTAATGATGATGATAATGAATGTGGTAATTTTCAAAATTTCAACTAGCAATCTCTCAATACGATCATCCGTCCTCCCTCCTTAGCACTGAGCTTGAAGCATATACATGACTATAAAATAGGCATGCTAACTTACACCATGAATGTGTTTTTATTGCCTAAAGGCCTGACCAAGGAATTTGAAAAATTAATGAATGGTTTCTGGTGGAAGGGAGAGGAGTCTCAGAAGAAAGGTATTTGATGGAAATCCTGGGATGGTATGTGTTGACCGAGAGGGGAGAGCGGATTGAGATTCAGGAAGACCGGAGAATTTAATATAGCTATGTTAGCTAAACAGGCCTGGAGATTAACTACATGTACGACCTCCTTGGTAGGAAGAATATTTAAGGCTCATTATTATCCAAATAGTACTTTCTTGGAGGCACGGGCGGGGAGTACTCCATCTTTCATTTGGAGTAGTATTTTGGAAGCTCAATGAGTAGTGGCAGCTAATATTCTTAGGAGAGCTGGAAATGGCAGGGATACTCAAGTTTGGGCGGGTGCATGGATTCCGGGCTCGGATTCGGGACGAGTTACTTCCCCTAAGCGGGCCGGAAATTTTGATATGAATGTGGCAGCTTTGGGCACAGAGGATGGCAAAGGATGACATATGGACATTGTCACGCCCCGGACCTCCCCGGACACGTCAACAACCCACCGTACAATACGAATAGTCAACCAAAGTCAAACACATCTATATTATACAAAGCGTCTCGAATATCATTCACACATAAGTCATCCATAAACATACATAATAAGCAATTCAATACGCAGCGGAAAGTATAGTTTGAAATCAAAGCCACACATGGCAAACATGAGCACGCAGGCTCTAAAGTAAAATATTCATGAGCAAGTTTATTAATGTTCAAATCAGAATGGAGGAAGCACAAACCAAGTCTTCTCTCCGGGAAATCACTCGAGCAACGAGCACAGGATGCAAGATCTAGCCTCAACCTGAAATGGTGGTGGGACGCCCCCGAATGGGTCAGTACTCTATAGGACTATAAAGTACTGGTGTGGATGGCATCTAATAGATATACAACAAGTATTTCAAACACAAGACCCTCAAATAGGGTGATAGTACAATATGGTTGTAACCCCAAGTTACCCTGTTTGAGAATATACTTACTTTATATAAAGTCAAGTAGTCGGCCCGTGGGCCCATGTTCATTTTGAAATCACCATTCCCATTCCCCGTGACTATAAGCCACGAGAACTCATAGAATCCAACCCATTACATTACATTGGATCCTAGAGCTCGACTCTATCACATCACCATACAATTCGTGTCATTTAGGTCAATTAGTTTACCTTGCGTTCTAGAGCTCGGCTCTATTACATCACCGTGCAAGCCCTAGATCTCGGCTCTAGTTATACAATACATAGACTACAACTCTACAAGTCTACCACCTTACCATGCATCCTAGAGCCCGACTCTATTACATCACCATACTCTAAAGTCCAATTCCGATCCTAAGCAAACCTATGCCTAGAATTGACATATCAATAAACTACCTGGGGTCATCCCTAAGGACTGCCCATAATTTAACCTTAGATTCATACTAAGACATTTTATACACTTGAAGTATATTCAATTGCATGTCATACAATCAAATCCTTAGGATCAATCCTATCAACTATTAAGATTATTGTTATCATACAAATATCCTCATTTTGTAATTCTCTACATATTTATAAATATGTAGCAGCAACTTAATTATTCAATTTCAATACATAAATATTCATTTATGTATCCACATAATTCATACATATTAGAATGTCTCTATTTCACAAAATAGTTCATTAATAACTCATTTAATCTCATATTATCCACACAACCTCAAATCATTTCCAATCTCATTCATTGTCAACTATATCAATATTTCATCAATATTTAAGAATCTTAATCCATGAAAATTATGATTTAGGCATTTAGGTAATCTCATGCTTAACCTACAAGTTGTAAGCAATTAGATGTCGATCCTCACCTCAAATGAGCTTTAAACCTTTCCTTCTCGATCCAATGATCAAAGCTTCGGCCAAGGTGGATTAAGAACTGATTCCTTGCTTTAAAATGAGTGTTAAACAGCCTCCTCAAAGTGCTAGCTCAACCCCTAACCGTTGATACGAAAACAGCCCCTAGAATGAGTGTTTTCCGGCGAACTCGTTTCCCAGTTTTTTCCAAAGTTTGCTCTAGGTTAGTATCTAACCTTTACATCAATAAAATAACCTTATACGGACATATTATACACTTGGAGTAGTGCATACTAGTTCCACCAATCGTTCATATCATTTGGAAAATGAAAAGAAAGGTTTTGGGATTAAAACTCACTTTAGAGAAGTAAATCCGTTTCTGCGAGTTTGTGTTTTCTTAGGACGATTTGGAAGCCTTCCACTAATCCATTTGATTCAAAACAGACATTTACGGATTCCTTATCTTGAGAGCTATCCGCAGGTACCTCACACGCCTGATTTGGATTAGTATAACTCGAGATATGAACCAAACAACACCAACACTCTCACTGCTCGAGTTTGTACGCAGCAGTTCACTCAACCTCGATTATTGTCGGTAATATTCTATCTTCTTGCTCAGAAACCACTCAATAATGAAATTAGACTTCAAAGGCTATCCAGGAACACCTTAATCACCTCATTTGGACGAGTACAACTCCCATTATGGGAGGAGACAATCAGCACACCCAATTTGTGCGAAAATAGTCATGGTGGCCCCTCTTTGGATGTCCTTCATGTCTTGTGCAGCTCTCCTTCATTTTTATCCGTCCATCCCTACTCCTAATACTTATTTTCCTTTGTCTTTCAGGTGTCAATAAGTATGGGACGCACCCCTATTGATCCCAATTGATTTGGAGTCCAAAATATCCACCAATACTTTCAAAAATGGAAAGATGAGTCCTATTGTTTTACTACCTCCGTAACGTAAATATCTTCTCACTTTCCTTTTATGGACGTAACACTAATATCTTCTCATTTCTAAATCTTCCCATCATACCCTCAATAATTTTAAAAATAATACACTATTACACCTACTTTTTTTGGATTTATCCTTCATTCCATCACATTATTTCACTATCTTCCCCTCATACCCCTAATAATACATATCTCTTTTCACTATTCTTAATCTACCTACTTTTCAAATGGGAACATCCCAATGTTACGGATGTAGTATCTTTTATTATGAGATGCCTTTTTGTACTCATTCTAATCTATTTAAAACAAGTCAACCTTCTACATCACACTCCTATTATTGATCTCCAATATGTGTAAGATCATCCCATTAATTTACATGATGAAAATTATAGAAGAAAACCCTACTCACATTATTTAACTCAATAATGTAAAAGATGGGACCATAGGTATTTGTATTCTTCTATAATCATTCCATCACTTAATTATGACATGGGTATTCATATTGTTGGGATAATAGCCGTGTGGGTCACCCTCGACTGCCTCGAGTGGGCCTAGGATGTCATTCTTGAATATTTACTATTTTTAGCAGGTTGGGCCCAAATAATGTTTGGGCTGCCTGACCTTCCTTAATTTGTATCGAAAGGTTA